GACGGCAGGGATATCGGAGTGACCGTGGCAGGGAGCGGATGGCAGTGCACAGCTGGCTGCAGGCACAGCTGATGCAGGCGAGCATGGTGTGGATGCTGTAATTTAGCACCGGTGACCTCCTCGCCTTACCTCCCCCAGCAGCACCTGCGGGGGCAGAGAGGTAAAGCTGCCACATTCAGACACAAACAAGCACAGAAGTCTGTGAGGAAAAATACAAATCCCTTCTGGATCCTAAATTTAGTGTTTCTAAATAAAAAGGATTTATATCGCGGTGCCTCTTTTCTTCTCTAAGATGTAGCTCTTAACAGATGTTGATGAACAGGTTGGAATTAAACTGTATCTTGCTGCATTTCTAGGTGCCTTCTTACAGTGCTATGCTCTGGGTCACTGTGGTGGGTTGACCTTGGCTGAACGCCAGGTGCCACCAAGCCGCTCTATCGCTCCCCTCGCCAGGCAGGGAGAGAATGAGATGGAAAAGAAAGAAAACTCGTGGGTCAAGATAAAGGCAGTTTAATAAAAAAGCAGAAGCAAAGGCCGTGCACGGTAGCGAAAGGAAAACAAGATTTTATTCTCTACTTCCCATTAGCAGGTGATGTCCAGCCACTTCCTGGGAAGTAGGGCTTCAGTACGCATAGTTGTTGCTCTGGAAGACAAAATGTCATAAAAGACGAGAGCTCCCCCTCCTCTTCCTTTTCCCTTAGTTTTTATATTTGAGCTGACGACATATGGTATGGAATATCCCTTTGGTTGGTTTGGGTCAGGTGTCTTGGCTACGTCGCCTCCCAAGATCTCGCCCCCTCCCAACCCACTGGCAGTGGTGGGGGGAATGTTGGAGACACAGCCTTGATGCTGTTCGAGCACTGCTCAGCAGTAGCCAAAATATTGGTGGGTTATCAACCCCTTTCTACATGCCAATAGAAAGCACAGCACTATGCAGCTTGAGCCAATACAGCCACATCCTTGCCACGCACACTTACTGGGAGGTAATTTTTAGCTGCTCAAGTAATTACTGCCAAAACGTGATTTCAGCGATAGATGCTGTTTCAACACTGTCAGATGTCCGCATTTCTGCAAGACTACCCATCGGCGAGAAGTGAGCGCCTGGAGCTCAAAAGTGTCACACCAGGTTCAAGTCTGCAATTTACCTACAGAGAATGAAAAAGTGTTTCAAGAGCAGCATGCCTGGCAAGCACTTCATTATCAGAAGGGATAAACCACTTGAAAACTAATTGCAGTGAGTAAAATGCCTACAAGGGGCTAACCACTCCTCAGGCTGCCCACGGCGAGCCCATGGCATGAGCTAGGAGGCCAAAACTTGCCTTTCCCATGAGCAGCTGTTGTCACCAGGACTCGGACATCCCTGACAGAGGAATCATTTATGAGCATCTTCCATTTTCTCTCTTGTGCCCTGACTGATGGATTTAACTGGAAGCGTCTGCAACTATACAATTTATCTTGCTGAAATAATACCTCCACCATCTTACTAGTTTATGTAAGCAGATGAATAAGGTTCTTCCTTTTGACTGTGAAAACCAGAAAAAGCTACCCTTTGAATGGCGCCTTGCATCCTGATGGCATGTTAAATTAGAGCTCCTGCTCGGGTGTAAGGATGCTTTCACTTTACATTTAGGATAATGTGACTTTTCTGGCTGCTCAGTGGCTTCCAATCAATTACTGTAGCATCTCAGGTAGCCAGTTTGTCACGGGCACCTGCTTACAGGTGCCTTTGCTGAGTGGTGCCATGCAGAGAGGAAGCACCCCCTTGGCCAGGCTGCAGAGGCACGTGCTTTCGGAGGCAGAGCGTGCATGCTCCTGCTTACCGTCATCGTGATCCATGTCAGAACCAGTTTGCTCCCTGGGCCTAGGGATTTTTGCATTAGGTGATAGCTTTCAAATAGCTCTCCTTGGCCATAATGCCCCTAAATGGTTGAAGATTTGCCAGGAGAACAGCTACGGGCTGGCAATGAGGGGGGCCCAAGGGATGAGTTACGGCGGTGCCTGCCCGAGCTGCAGCACACGCGAGGCCGGGCCTGACCCCCTTTCGGCTCCCGTTATTGGTGTGCAACCATGTGCTCAAGGGCATGCTGCAGCTGAGCTCAGGGACACTGTCCCTGGGGAGAACAGATGAGTGCTTGGCACTGCTGGGCAGGCCCCAGCCCCTCCAGTGCCCCTGGAGCTGGGGACAGACACTTCCACGGCCAGCAGACAGCCTGAGCCCTGCTCTCCTGGAGCACGGACGGGGGGCTTTGACCCCAGCCCTCAGCCGTAGCGCTGGGTGCTGCGACAGTCACACAACGGGCTGTGGTGAACGTGGCCTTGCTTTCAAACCTGCCCTGAATTTCGCAGATGAGTTTTGTTCCCTGACCTGGCCTGTGCCTGGACAGTGCAACGAGGTCCTCGCCCTGCCTTGGGCGTGCTGAAAAGCTCAAACTTCATCTCTAATACTTAACCCTGAAATGAGCTATGTTTTCTGTGATAGTCCTCTAAAAACTGAGGAGAAAGGACTCAGGCACTTCTACTGCCCAAACTAGCAAAAACTGCTTGTGGTAATTGATAGATTTTGCTTAACAACCAAAGGAGAAATGCTAATGATTCTGTATGTCAAGTTAAGTGGAACAAATCAGGGAGGTTTGGGCCAGCTGGTAATTCTTTTCAGGGAATAAAAAGCAACCAAAAGTATCCAATTTAGGGAATGAAAGAGGGAGAATACAGAAAAGAAAATTAATTCCCTCTCCTTCATAACAAAGCATGAGAGAAGGGATTTCTGCAGAGATATATATAGCAGGGTCTGTGAAACGCTGTAATTTGCAGGTTCTTTACACAAACTATTTCCCTCTTGTGTCTTTGTTTATAACTAGACTCAGACACATCAAATGGCACTAAAGATATAGTCCCTTTGTTTGGGATTTTTTCTTTTTTGCATTGCTTAATGATAACGATTGTCGGGTAATGAGGAAGCCTATTGTGGGCCAACAATTAAACAAACACAAGTTTCGTTTTCAAGAGAAAAGAAGATGATAAGAGGTAAGTTAGCCAGAGCACTCCAGGAAAAAAAAAAAACCAACAGACTAAGTGAGTGATAACCCCTGTTAACTGGGTTAACAAGGAACAGAGATGCATCAGGGAAAACCTGAAGATCAAAAGAAATACCATCCATAAGGAAAATATGTATCTTATCAGGATGGATTAGCAACTTCAAAATGATCAGTTAGCATCTGAAATTTCAGATTGTGAAATGTTGACGATTAAAGCTATATTTTCCCCACCAGGATGTCAAACAACGCTCCTTGGAGGCCTGACTCATTAGGTAATTATTCGAGCCAGTCGGTTCCAGCAAAATTGCGAGCACGAAATAAGCTTGGAGCTCAGCAGAGACATTAGCTGTTATTGGAGTATGACTTTTGGTTTGATTTCTCAGTAACTCACTGAATGCAATAAGAAATCGGTGGCCTCCTTCTTTGCAGCTTTTATAATGCTCCCAGCTGGCACCAAGTAATAAGTGATTACGAATATGCCTTCCGAGCACTTCAGACTCCCTTTACTGGTTATAAGCGTGCTGGGAGCCTGTCTGTGGGCAGCTCAAGCCGACAGCAAGGAGGTCAAGCAGCGACAGGTTACCCGCTCTAACCTGCTCTCATTGCTAATGGCATTTTCAGGTTGTTATTGTTTGGTTGCATGGGATAAAAATAACGTACATACTAAGAGGCTGCGAAAGGGAAAACGTTTTCAAGGACAAAAGGAGGAACAGTTGTCTGTCCAAACTGTCTTGCCGGCTCTTAGTTTGCCAGTTTATTAGTTTTGTGGTTTATTAGTTACCTCCTACGCCAGGCCAAGAGTCCTTCTGCTTCAGCAGCCAGCTTGGACTTGCTGCTGACATTGCAGTGTTACAGGGAACTTGCAGTGTTACGAAGCTGCAGAAACACTTTAGAAAAATATCCAACAAATACTCCAAAACCATCACTCAAAAGAGATAGGCTTCCACACCTTGGACATTTCTACAAAAACAGGTTCCCTAGTTTCTGAAGGTTTAAGTTTTCTACATGTGTGTTTAGGGATGGGTGGTGTGGGCTAACCAGGGTAAGAATTTGGCCCAGCTGCCTCCTGACCTTTGAGGCTCTCAGCCTGCAAATGCTTAATTGCAGACACAGCTTGTGTTTGAGCAGTTTAGATACCTGCAAACACAATAACTGTAGAGACAAAGACTATAAACTGGCTATAAGTTTTGGGCTATCTGTAGAAATAACCTGCAAAGGTCTCTCTGTCTCAGCCGTGTAGACGATGCTCTCAGAAAACCGTGGGGGCAAACTGGCTAAATGGCTCAGTTCACAGATCCCCCCACCCCATCCCACCTGGAAGGTGTGCTGGCTGCATCTGCCTGCGCCCTCATCTTCTTCTGGGTGCACTCAGTGCATGTGGATGGGCAAAATGTGCCCCCCTCCCTCAAATGAATAACCTCTGAAATGTCTGGACTGCCTGCAACTCTGAGAAAACACAGCGGACACTCTTCCTCTTCTACCCAGCCTGCAGGAATGTACCGAACTGCTCTGAAAACAAGACCTGGCTATGGATGTTTATTCTGCTCCCTCTTCCCTCCCTTCCTGGAAAGCACACTGAAAGAAGGACATTCAAAAACAAGAGCTGAAGGAAATTAAAAAAAAGTTGGACTGAATTAAACAGCTCTGTGTGGTATTTAAGAAACTGGAAATTAGCAAGAGACAATGGTTAGCCACACACAGACACCAGCACACCTATATATACACATATAGCAATTTTTTTTTAATTCAGTAAGACCCTTCCCTAGTGCTGTCCCGCAGTATGTTGAAAACAGCGTGATGTTATCGCTGCCTAGACACTGAAGAGCAGAGGATTGTCTTCCTCTTGGTGCCAGTTGCACCAGCTGTGTGAGTGGGCTTTCTGTAATCCCGCATCAAGATAATGCATTTCTAATCTTGCCCTTTAAATGTGCCGCCTGAAAAACAACACGGCATCCCCTCCCTGTCATTGCATTTTCTGCAAACAACCCCGTCCTTCCTTTCGTGCTTCAGGGTTACTGTGCTGTCCCGAAAGAGCCTTGCGTTCAGATGATCTTAATTCTCTAATAAAATCTGTCATTATTTTACAGCTGCAGAGTCAAATGCACCATTGCTTCACATGTATAAGAGAATTACCTAAACACAAAAGTATCCCTCCAAACTGAAAATTAATTATAACTTCTTCTTCCACATGCTCAAAACACTGGCCTTCATAACCTGATACTAGGATCATTTTACTCCTCTTAAATTGGGATTTTCTCAGAAGACATTAAGCCCCAAACCTGGCCTGCAGTCCTTAATCACAGGACTAGTTGCACTGATTTAATGAATTTCTTACCTGTGTAACAACAGGTAGATCAAGCTACTAATCTGGTTTTTATTCTGAAGGGACAGCAGCGATACCTTGGGTATTCCAAAATCCCTCTTACCTTCGTATCTATGCAGCTGTAGATCTGTATCTGTGTATCTATGAGTCTGTGTATCAGACATACCCGCACCCTTGCTGAGCTGGGAACGGTTACAGTCAAGATCAACGGTAGCCTCAGTGGCATTATGAAGCCCGATCCCCTGGGTCACTCCTACCCAGTTTAATCCCTGTTATTAACAAGCGTCACCCCAACATCCTTGGTGGTCTGAGCCTCCAAGCGATACGTACGTGGGCAAGAGGACTGAAAAGCAGTAAAGTATTTTCAGTCTCAAAAGCCCTTTGAAGCACCACCTAATCCCTTGTGAGCTGGGCGCCCAAACAGCCTTGTTTCAGTTTTACAGACGAAGAAAATGTGACGCAGGATTTTTACTAAAATTTACAGAAGTTCAGTCAGGTTTGGAAACAAAAGCTCCTCGTTCCATTCTTGTGATGGACCATATCTAAAATGCTATTTTCCTTTGCCAGAACTTGAAGTTCATTTAAATTAAGAAAAAGTGTGTGATATGAAAATATAATGTGTAGAACTCCAGAGGTGAACGCTGCACCAGCCAAACAGACTCACATTATGTTTTCTCAACGTTTTCTGTTGTCAAAATAAGCAGACAAGGCAGCTGTTTGTACAACCCAGGATACTGGGCCCAGTGTACTGGCACCATTGCTACGTTCAACTGTTATCCCATGTTGGGGACTTCCCAAAGCACCTTTTAAAATGTAAGGTAATATTGATTCTGGAGACCAACAGCAGGGTAAGAGCCGAGGTACCAGGGCCACCAACAGTGGTGCCAGCAGAAGATGCAATTAAAGGCCTATCTCATAAACTTTTGTGTAGCGTGGCTGAAAATTACTCCCAGCCTTTTTTAAAGGCTGCAAATTCCTTACATACAACCAAGCACAAAAAGATCCCATACGGAAGAAGGTACAGATGTTTCCCAGTTAATGTGTATGAATGATTGAAGCCACTGGTCCTGCGGACAGATGTTCCTGGGCAGCAGAGAGCTTTGCCCAGGCCAGGGGCAGTGCGGGGAGCGCGGCCCTCAGCACCGCAGCGAGGGCTTTCGGTCACTGCCTTGCTGAGGGTTCAGCGGAAAGAAGCTGCTGCTACTCAGAAAAACCAGTTAATTCCTTGAACTGGTTTATTTACACAACCTCCATATAAGTACACATAACATTGCCTTTGGAAACGACCCAGCTCCTTGCTTAGAGCTGAAGGAGAAGTGCAAACTTCCTTGCGGGGGCCATTGCCGGCTGTTAATTTGCTGCCAGGTCTGCAGTGAGCGATGGGGTCGGTGGCCTTGTCGCAGTGCAGGGCTGCCCTGGCACAGCCTTTTGTGACAGCCCGATGTTTGGTGGCACTGGCTCAGTCCTG